AATTAGGAATAAAACCATTTTCTTACATTAAAATAAATAAAATTATGTGTGGCTTTTTGCATGTTACTCTAGTATGATGTGGAAAATATGAAGGTCCCTGAAGATAACCCATACTGTATTTACAATTATCAGTGTTGCTAACCTCTATACTTCAACAGTGCAAAGCTGCTTTTATTTCCAGATAATGACACATCCTAGGGGCAAGACTGAGCATAGCTGAAAAGAATTGTTTATGTTTAAGTACATGGAAAAAATTGAGGGTTGAATATCTTCTTCAGTACTGGCTTTGCCTTACTCTCACCAGAGAATGAAAGAGATGTGATGATTAAAGGAAAATTACTATTACTCCTACCACTAACATTCACATAATATGTCTCATTTCAGAAAATCGGAACAAATACCCAGTTACCATTTATCTGGCAGCCGTAGTTCACCAGTAACTGGAATATATGTAGGACAGGATGAAATAAGAAGCTTAAGAAGGATCTACGGTGCCTTGATTAATCATTACAGGAAGCTAACCCCAAAACAGTGTGGATTGTCCTTTTGTGTGTCATCCTGGAGGGTTTTACACCCTGGGTGAGAGATGTACCTTTCTTTTGTAAAGACAGAACTATTGAAAATTCAGGAGTTGAAAAGAACCTACATAATGCTAAATGTATTTATGGAAATGGAGGAAATCACTCTTGTTGCTTTGCTACTGTCTGTCTTCCATGAACTGTTGTCCTTCTGCCACCCTGCCTTGGAGCCAGCTAATTATAGACTAAACCCTCTACAAACTGTAAGCCAAACAAACCTTTCCTCCTTTAAAAAAAAAAAAAGAAAGAAAGAAATGGAGGAAATCTATAAATTGTAATAAGAATCCACCTTGGGTTGGGTTATGCCACACAATAAGAGCAGAGAGGGGGAGGGAGGAAGGGAGGGAGGGAGAGAGAGAGAGAGAACTTGAAGTCTTAAAGTTCATGTGAGCTCTAACTCTCGCTCTGCTTAATAGCATAGAACATTTGCCATACAGGCTGATGAATAATGAAGTTACTCATAGTAGAAGCTTTCTATTTCACCACAACCTAGAGTAAGTGTATTTTATTTTGTGATCCAGTGCAAATGTGCATATTATTTCATGAAATAATAATCATTCCCACTGCTTGTGATGCACTGTGATGTTCTCTAATGTCCTTCAATACTGGCCTTGCCCCATTAAATTGATGTCATAACCAATTATGTTAGTCAGCTTTCCATTACTGTAACACATATTTGAGATAAAGCAATTTATAAAGAAGAAACATCTATCTTGACTTACAGTTTTGAAGGGGTTAGTCATTGCTTTGAGCCTATGGCAAGGCAGCACATCATGGTAGAGATCATGTGGCCAAGAAAACAGCTCGTGCACCTCATGGCCGGGATGGAGAAAAGGAGAGAAGAAGAGGCTGGGGGCATCATAGCCCCTTTGAGAAGACCCCTCCGATGCCCTGCTCCTACTAGGCCCCACCTCTTAAAGATCCACCGCCTCCCAGTAGCACCCACCTGGGGAATAAACCTATATCACATGGGCGTTGGGCACATTCAAGATCCAAACTACAGTGCTAACCAATGATTCTCAGCCCACAGTGGGAAAATAGAACAAAGAACATAGGAATAAATATAAGTCATAGCAACTGACTATAAAGCAATCTCTGATTATAAGAGATATCCTTAAAGAAGCATTGGCCTAGGGCCAGGGATTTAGCTCAGTGGTTCCGCCGCCTGCCTCACAAGCACAAGGACCCGAGTTCAATCCCCGGTACAGAAAAAAAGAAGAAGCATTTGTCTAGAGATACAAGTGGGTGAGCCAAGGCCCAGCAATGTCAATGTCCACAGAAATTTAAGCTTTATTTTATTACATTAGTTTTTCCACCCTTAATATTTTAACTTTCTTGTTGGTCAACAACAGTCTCTGGTTGTTCAATTCCATAGGTTTACTTGTTCTATTTTAGGCTGAAAAAGTTTTCTCCAAAATACGAGGTTCTAATCCCTGGATTTTCCAAACATTACCCTATATTGGAAAAGGGCTTTGAATATGTGATTAAATTAAATCTCTGGGCCGGAGATTTAGCTCAGTGGTTCTGCCGCCTGTCTCGCAAGCGCAAGGTCCCGAGTTCCATCCCCAATACCAAAAAAAAAAAAAGAAAGAAAGAAAGAAAAATTAATCTCTTGGCAGGGCATGGTGGTACACACCTGTAATCCCAGCATTCAGGAAGCTGTGCCAGGAAAACCACAGCGAGTTCAAGGCCAGTCTGGGCTCCATAGTGACTTCAAGGCCACCCTGAATGAACTATATAGTGAGACCTAGTCTCAAAAATAAATTAACTAAATCTCTTCAGTTGGAGAGAGTATCTTGGGTTAACAAAGTGAACTCTAAATGCAATTTTGTGGGGAGGTTTTGTTGTTGTTGGGACAAGGGTTATTAGGGTTTGGGGTTTTTTTTGTTTTGTTTTTTGTTTTTGTTTTTGTTTTGCAGTACTGGGTATTAAGCTCAGGGCATTCACACTGAGCTATGTCTCTAGCCCTTTTTAAAATTTTGAGACAGGATTTCAATAAATTGCTCAGGCTGGTCTCAAACTTGTGATCCATCTCAGACTGTCAGAGTGCAGCGATTACAGGAACATGCCATCATGTCAAGATACAGGTATCCTTATAAGAGGGAAGCAGTGGGAGATCTAACACAATTAGAGAGGGGCAATAAGAAGAATCAGGGTAATATTTGAAGATGCTGGCCTTGGAGTGATGTGGGCACCAACCAATGAGTGGCAGCAGCCACCAGAAGCTGGAAAAGTCAAAGAACTGATTCTTCTCTGGAGTCTCTGGAAGGAGTACAGCCCTGTCCACATCTTGATTGTGGTACAGTGATGATGAATGTGAATGTACGACCTCCAGAATGTGCCAAGTTTATGGCATTTTGTTATAGCAACCTCCAGAAATTAATATGAACTCTATGAATTTGACTTATGGAGAATCATAATAAATATTTTTTAAACAGCCACCTGCCACTCTTTATATCTTGTGCTTGGACTTGAGCGTGGTTTGAGTGTATCCCCCAGAGGTTCATGTCTGGAAATTTAATCCAATTATGGGGCCTTTGGGAGATGAGGATTCATAAAGCCATCAGAGTAGAGCCCTTACAACTGAATATTGGTGGAGTTATAGTAAAAGAGAGTGACCACAGATGATACACACACACACACGCTCCCTATCTCTTGCCATGTGATGCACTGCACCATCTCGAAACTGCCAGCACCAGATGTGGACCTCACCTTTGGAAGAGAACTGTGAGCCAAAGCAAACCTCTTTCTTTATAACTTACCAAATCTGTACTGGGTTATTAACAACAGAAACTGAACTAATACATCTTGTTATGTTTCAAGAAAGACTGATAGCAGTTTATGGAGATTCACAAAGCATATCATTAACACAGACAGTAGGCAAAATGGAAAAAACAAAGATAGATACACAAATGGAGCCAACAAGCTTATGTAAATACCGCTGGCTCTCCATATCCATAGGCTCTGTAGATTCAATCAACCATGGATGAAAAATATTTGGGGGGAAAACTATCTGTAGTAAATATAGATGGACTTCTTTTGACGGTCATTATTCCCCTAACAATACAGTATAACAAACACATAGCTTTTATACTGTATTTGGTGATATAAATAATCAAGTGATAATTTCAGGTACATAAGGAGCTATGCACCAGTTATATGCAAATACTACATTTTACATATGTATAAGGTATATTATATATACCTTATATATATGTATATACATTATATATATTTACGTATATATAATAAGAGATGGCTCTACAGCACAATACTTCTTGCCACAGTCAACTATAAATTTGCCTTTAAACCTTCTAACAGCCAACATGTAATGGAGGTCTTGTTTAAATGATAAAAAGGATATTAGATAGGGCCGGGGATTTAATTCAGTGGTTTCGCCGCCTGCTGCTCAAGCGCAAGGACCCAAGTTCGATCCCCGGTACCAAAAAAAAAAAAAAAAGGATATAAAAAATAAGCCAAGTCCATAGAAATACAACACCCAAGTGAGATTTCTCCCAAGAACTCTGCTATCGAGAACATTTTTGGAATGTAATTATGCACATGATTCCCATAACCCCCAGTGTAAATGTAATTGTAGTTCCTACACCCAAGTTTATGGTACTGCTTACTATATTATAGGTTGACATGTCAGAACTTAATGACCACAAATTTTGTCAGTTGAGTACTCGCCAAGTGTACAACTCGGTGCTAGTTTACCTTAAGAGAGTGGAATACCTATAGTGTTTCTACTGGGGAGTGAGAGGAAGAAAGAGAGAGAGAGAGGGGCAGAGACAGCGGGCTCAGAGACCTAACCCAGCTAACAGCGAACAAGGGAGGCCTCCGGCAGGTGATCCTGACTGCTAGAGGATGAGTAGATAAGACGAACAGGAGGGAAATGGCACTCCTCGGAAGTCAGAAAGACTATCCCCTAGCGTTAAGTAAAGCTCTGGGAACACGGAAGGTCTACGTTGGGTGGGGGAAAAAAAACAAGTGAGAGGAAGAAACTGCATTTCATCTTCCCATTACGGAGCGCATGCATCGCCACTGCTTCAGAACTTATGGAGGCAGCTCTGTAGCCATTCCCAACAAAATTACGCCGCCTTTCCCAACAAAATTACGCCGACTTTCCCAAAGATGTAACCCTCCTCCTTAACATCCCCGTCTCACTGCCCCGCCTAGTAACAGGCGGAGGTGCTAGCCTCACTACGCAGGCACTAAGTATGACCTCTAAGGCCCCACCCCAAGAGAGGACGCTAGTCATTCCGGGTCATTACCAGGGCTCCGCTCTAGCCGCCAAGCTTCCGTTTCTCTACTGTTCTCTGTAGGGGCTGGCTGGAGCCGGTAGCCGGGTAGAGGCGGGCCTTCCGGGTCAGGGAGCGTGGTTGAGGAAGGGCCGAACCAGGTAAGGTTGTCCGTGACTGTCCGGGTCTGCACCGAGCTAGCCAGCGGTTACATGCTAGAGGTCCTGCGGGAGCGCCATGCTTGTACAGTGGCCAGGAACAGGAAGAGTCCATTTGTTTAGTGATCAATTCTGAGGTTTCACGTGCATCTCACGAACACCTCGGCCTTTTCCTGCGTGAGTTGAGGGAATTTACCAAACGAGGGACACCAGCGTCTCTGCTGCTGTAATTTCCTCTCCGGCGCAGTTCTTCCCCAGGCTACTACAGTCACGGCTCTGTTTCTCTGCTCACCAAACGGCCTTCTGCATGGTAGCTTTGTGTGGGGCACTCAGATTGATTTTGTTGCTAGTTTAAGAAAAATATTTTCGCATTGCCCTGTCAATTCAAACGTGGGAATGTGACACTATTGAAGATTCCATCACAGGGGGCGGTAGGGTCAGACGGGGTTAAGATTTGTTCTTAATGAATTGAATAAAAACATATTCAGCGCCCTTCGTGCCCTTCTAACCCAATAAAATAATTGGTAGTGGGCTTTAAAACTGAAAAGCATTCCGATTGGGTTTTCTGTGACAAGACGTGCAGTGTGTGTGCGCGTTCCTTGGATCCTCATGATCAGAGCAACGTACTGGCCACGAGTTTTTTCGTTATCAGCCTCACAATTCAGTGTTTTCTACTGTCATTTAGTAGATGGGAGAACCGAGGCATAGAATACGAAAATGACCCTACTGTTAAAAGGCAGAAATCAACCAGCTTATCTACCTCGAAGCTGATGCTGTCTGCTAACCACTGGTTTTTGACAATTTCTTCCCAGCAAAATTACACATATATGTGCACATTTAAGTATACAGCTTTACAGGTTTGAAAAGCAGAGGCATCTCCAGGTTAAGAATTCCAGCACTTCATCCTCATCTTCCAAAGAGAAAAGGCAGTCCTAACTCAAAGCCAATTATTGAAATAAAATGAAAAAAAAGAAAATCACCTTTTAATGCATAAGAATGCATTTAAATAATGCATAAGAATGCATTTAAATAATGCATTGAAATGCATCAGAAAGATCAAAGAAAAATTGCCCTATTATACCAAAGGAGAAAGAAATATGAGAATTTTCTTGTGTAGCCTTGTTTTGGTTAGCATGTGTGAGTACTGTAATTTGTTTTGCTTAGCATGGTCAACTGCAGATATTTTTTTTCTCCACAAACCTGTAATTTTCTTTAGTTTCAAAGTGACATTTGAAAGCAACTATTTTGACCTCTTAAAATGGTCTTATGTGAATCAAAATCTAATTAACATGTAAATTATTTGCCTTTTACTTTAATGACATGAACATGGTCATCATGTTTCTTACTTTTCTTTTTCCAGATAAAATTGAAAGATTCTGTAAGGAAATTTTACCAGAGTCCCAAAAAGGCCTATGTAAGGCTTTTTGGTTTTGTTTTGTTTTGTTTTGTTTTGTTAATTTAAAGCTAGTAAAAAATAGTAATTTGTCAGTCTTGAGAACAAACTTATGGACAGCAAAACCTTTAGACTATGTTTTTAAAAAATAGAATACCAAGTTCCTCTGTCATTCTCCATCAGTGACAAGTGTCTGTGTTCTGTGGAAGGAGAAAAGCAGTGGTGTGGTAACTGTTGTAAGCATTTTTGGTTTCCTCTTGTTTAGCAAGTGGTTCTTTGCTTCTAATAAAGAACTCAGGTGTGGAGTGGATTATTATTCCCTTTCTCTGTCATAAAATTTTTAGGACTTGGGTTTTGTGGTATAACCATGTTCCAGTGGATTCTAATGTGACCCTACTACTTACGAGTAATGTAGCCCCATAATCTACCTTATTGCAAAATGGGCATGGAGATCACGTAGCGTCCTGTGACGGTCTCAGTGACCACTGTCCTCTTTGCTACCTGTCACATTACCAAGGTGCTGGCACCTCCCTACCATATTTCCTGGCTATCAGGCTTTGTAAGTGAAGATATCATCTCAAAAAGGTACTGTACAGGTCTAACTGTATAGTATTGTTTTTTTTTTTTCTTTTTTCCATGACTAACCAAGGACAGGTAATCAACAGATGTGTCTGTGTGGAACATATGAACCTTAAACTTGCAAAGAGATTTAGAGTATTTTTTAAGTTACTATTTTCTCAGTGCCACTTAATCATTTCTCACAGTAGTCCTGCAAGAGAACTCTCGAAGCCAAGGTCCCTCCAACCCCTCAATCTACAAGCATTGTTTTCAGAAAAAGGAAACTCAGATTTAGAGACAATAAGTAACTTCAGCGTAACACGGATAATAAATGACAGAGCCAATCCTCAGGACTCCCTGCTGCCTCTGTTTAGTTTAAAAAGAGGTTTGGAATTGAGAACACGTTTTCCTGAAAACGTTTCAGTACGTGATAATTCCCAGACTAGCTTGCAGGAATCTGTGGAAAGGCTGTGTGATTCCAGTAGAAATTTATTCTGATACCATAATGCTTTTGTATGTTAGACGAGTCAGTGAAGAAATGGTTTGTTAAACTGGTGTTTTGAAAAGCACTATTATAACAGGGGAAGGAAGAGAAAGGCTACAGCATGCAAAGAAACTTTGCAGCTTCCAAAGGGACTTCGGACATTTGCAAGGTCTTTAGAGGTGTATGGTACTGGTATGTTACCAGTTTCTATTGAGACGTTAAACTGTTAATAACCTCTCCTCATTGATAAAAATACAACCCTAGTTCTAACAGAACCAACCCAATCCCACCTGCATCCACGTAATGGAGCAAGAGTTGGGAGAAAAGTGGTTGAAAAGGGCTAAGAAGGAGCAAAGCTTGTGGGGATCCCTGCTCTGGGTAGGGGGACCTGATGCTGATGGTTCCCCTCTTGCTGGCCTTCAGGTGGCACTGTTGGCCCAAGATTGCTTGGTTGGTGAGCTTGACTTTCAGCTTTTGCTCTCTTAATGGATCTTAAGGGGGTATTAAAACATACTTAGTTTATACACTGAATTTATTTCCTTGCAAACTGTTGAACTTTTACTAGGTGAACAGAGGCCCTCCCCCACACTGCCTCTTAGCAAGTGTGTAGGAACTTGCTTCCGCTGTTGATGGCAGTTTTGTTGGCAGTTTTGTTCTTATTTCCTCCCCTCAGCAGTGTTTTGTTTTTGTTTTGGGGTTTGTTTGTTTTTTTTAGTTCAGGTTGGCTTTGAACTCACTGTGTAGCCATGGCTGGCCTCGAACTTGTGGCTCTCCTCCTGCCTCAGCCTCATGAGTGCTGGGACTACAGGCATGTACCATCATGCCTGGCTACTGGCATTTTTAATTTGTACATTTTTATATATTTGATTAAAATAAGCTATGGTTCACCTATAAATGTGTAAAAATTGGAGGAATTATTTGGCACCATACCTGCTTAGTTTATTTGTTATAGTTCTCCCATTGGTTTTTCATGTTAGGTGTATGCTTTTCTGTTTGGAAATCAGCTTCTTTTCATACCAGCTAAACTGCTCCAGATAGTTTTTTAGTCTCACTATTAAAATTTCACATATATTCACATCCAGCCAACAGTAACCATACATCTGATCTAAAATGGAATAAATAGCAGTTATTCCACCAGCTGCAGTCTAGATTTTTATGTGTTCCCTCTATACTTTTTGATGTCTGTTAGTTGTAATTTTTGTATATCGTGGCTGTCATTCTTATTTATTGCCTATTTAAACATTTTGTGTCTCTAAAACAGTTGCTGTTAATAGGAACTTAGCTAGTTTGTATTAAGGCTGAGTCAGGTAACATCACAATTCCTAGGTGACTTTTGTTCAGGAATAAATGAATCTTTGAGCTGTTGATCCTTATTTTGAGCTGTTGAGTTTTTGTTTCCATAAGGCTACTATGTGTTTTTCCCAAGTGGCCCTCAGTCTCCAGGCAGAACTCAATCCAGTAACCTAGAGGCCAAATGACCTCATAACTCATTAGCAGTTCTCAGAGCCATCTGGTGCCCTTGAAGAGAACAGTGTTCAAAGGCCTGGTGATAAAGACAACAGCATAATTATTTCTCTGCCATGATTACACCTTTAGATGGCAAGCAGTCAGCATATTTATTTGCAGATTGCTTAGGTGGTTGTTTTCTAAAGGCATAATAACAATGCTATAGTGGAATAACTTGTTTCCCTGTCCTCTCCATCCAGCCTGCAAATAAGTAAACTGACTGCCAGTAAATAACCTACTGGATCACAAAACAGTGCATTGTAAAAGGGGAACAATCTGAGAATTTCTCACACTAACCTGCTTCTCTTCATCTCATTTTCTGTAGGGAGTCTTGCTCTTTGCTGCTTAGGAAATGTCTTCACTTTCAGAATATGCCTTGCGCATGAGCCGTCTGAGTGCCCGAATCTTCAATGAGGTTGCCAGCCCGACTGACTCCAAATCCATGAAAGTGGTGAAACTTTTCAGTGAGCAGCCCGTGGCTAAGAGGAAGGAGACCTACGACTGGTATCCAAACCACAACACATATTTCGCACTCATGGGCACACTCCGTTTTCTTGGCCTCTACAGGTGATAATAAATAAATAAATAACCACAAAGAGGGAGTTTTTAATAGATCATCAGAGGAAGAAAACATGGCCTTTCTATCCTTATAGTTTTATAATTCTTATGAGAATGCCCAGGTAGTTCAGACAGTAGAGTTTGTGGCTTCTTTAGAAATATCCATAATGAGCAAACCAAAACAAAAGACATATTTTAATTATGTCTAAAACATGACTAATGTTGAATTTTTTTAACTGTATATCCTTTCATTGGTACATTTTAGGTATACAATATAATGACATTCATCATTGGAAATTGGCACCTTTACATAAGCTCTCTTGGTTCTTATTTTTCCCCCTTCCCCTGCCCTCCCTTCAACCCCTCCATTCCTCCCTATTTACAAAGATTTTGTTTCTATTTTTCCATTTTCTCATATTAATTCCATTCCCTTCTTTCCTTGCCCCTTCCTCTCCCACTTCCCCTTCCCCTTTACCCCTTTTCTTCCTATTTCACATTATCTATTACACCTTTTTGACTAATGTTGAATTGTAACTGAGCTATAAAGAGATGCTTAATTATTCATTCATCTAAGAACACTCTCAAAAGGATGTAGGAAAAACCAGCCCAGAGGTAAAGGGAGGAAACCCCAGGAGCACCAAGGTTGCCTGGGAACCAGGTTCCTGGTGTCAGATGAACAGAGTCCCTGCCCTGCACGTGATCTGCCTCTTGGTGTGTAGGCACCTCCTTTCTCTCCTGGCGGCAGTTTTGTTGGCATTCTTAGTCCTCTCACTCAATTCTGGCATTTTTATTTCATACCTTTTTGATACATTAATTTGATCTATATAAGCTATAGTTGGCCATTAAGGTACACCCTCAACACCAGCCACTGGTATGTTTTTGTGTGCCCAGGAAACGGGTGCTTAGGACTATACACATCTCTAGGAGGCAAACAGTTCAAATACTTTTGATCATTTTCTTTAAAAAAGTTTTTTTCTTGTAATACATGCTCATTACAAAGAATTCAAACAGTACATAATTATATAATATTAAAATACATATCATCCTTTAAAACATTTAGCATGTTTAAATTGGACTTGTCTTTGGACAAAAAGACAAACATTAATTTGGGATCCTTCATTCTAATGTGATAAAATTAATGGTGCAGCATGATGCTCATTCCAGAGAAGGAAAGGTTGGTATGTTTATTTATCCAACAGATGTGTCTTAAGTATCTTCTATGTGCCAGTGCACAGGGCAACCACAGTGAACAAAGTAGAGATTTTCTTGTTAAATGTATTATTAGAGATTTAATCTGACCTAGTTTGAATGTCTGGAATTGCTTTGGATTGTCCACCTTGCCTTCAGTGGGGCTCAGAAAGTACAAATTAATTTTATTACGACCCAAAATAAAATATTGGAAGCCAGATCCCCTGAGTGGATTATAACCCATAACAAAACCACATTCAACTACTCCAATGTATCTATTGGCTGCTGTGTTCCATTTGTTTAAAGAAGAAAAAATGGGTCTCTTTGGCTATAGAGAAAGAAGACTTAGCACTTAATTACCCATGGAAAAGCATTATTTTCATATATTTAGTCACTAGTTATGCAAATGGCTTATCTAATGCCAGGCCTCCTATGGCAGCAGGCAGGATTCAACTAGACAACCGTCAGTAAAGAAAATCAAAGGTCTGCAAAAGAGGGAGGGAAGCACAAGTTCTCAGATATGATCAGTTCACTCAGTTCACCAGGTCCTGGGATCTATCTCCAACAGAGACAAAGCGCTGCCTCATGGAGCTGCATCTCTGGCTGAGAGCTGATAAGGAATATGGAGGGAAGAAATAAGGGATAAAAACATAATAGGTGAATGATGTGACATGTCTCAAAGTTGAACATGCTGTGGGAGAAAAGGCAGAGCTGGCTGAGCAGGATCCAGAGTGCTGACCGTGCCATGGTGAGCAGGATCATGGTTATTGTAGCATCAAACAGGAGGTGGAGCTTAGGCAGAGGCTGAAGGCCATGAGTGAGCCCCCTGAGACCTGGAGAAAAACCAAGCAAAGGCCCTGGGGCAGGAGCATGCCTGGAAGGACCCAGGGGTCCTGCAGGCCAAGGAATAGTGGCGGATTGATGGGGCCATGGGTCACTGAGCAACATGGTGAAAGACTGGGTGTTTGCTCTGGGTAAAAGGGGGAGCCATTTTCAGGGCTGTGAATAGAGGGGCGACCTCATCTGAAATATTTTAGAAGAATTACCCTGGCTGCTCTGTTGAGGGTTATTTGACATTCATAGCTAAACCCAAAGAGTTCTGTTATACAACAGCCTTCATGTTGATGGAATGAAACGTGAAATTCTATAAAGCAGACCTGTTTTAAAAGAGCCTAGGGAATTAAAACTTGGGCCCAGCAAACCCTTCTTTTACCTTTAATTTAAACATTATTTTCCACACTTTACAGATGAGGAAATTAAGGTGCAAAGAGGTAAGGTCACTCATCCAAAATCGCAGAGCTAATGAATAGCAGAGCTGCGATTTGAACCCAGGTTCAAATGGATCCCACAGCTTACAAGTTCAAGCACTATACTGTTCTTTCATTATTTAGTCTTAAGATGCAGATATTTTAATGCAATATAGGCAGTCTTCAACTTCTGCACCACTCCCCCTTGCATAAATAGTCCTGGCTGCCTTGGTTACTATCCTGTCTGCCTTTTAATCTGGCTTCTTCCTGCCTGAGCCTTTCCCAGCAGCCTTCCTGTGTGAGGTATCTACTGCTATTAAAGCAGCTCCCTCTGGACCTCTGCCCATCATTAGTAGATATTCATTATATCTGGGGCAGTCAGGGTCCCTGTGCAGCTGCTGAAAATTGTACCCACTTGCTGCCCCTCGTGGTGTTCAGCCTTAATGTAGGGAAAGTGGGGTCGGTGCTGCTGTGTATCACAGTCACAGATTTACCTTGACGGGTCTGAGAGATTAAGTCCATTTTTTGGCATTGTTTCTATGAGGGAAAACTTATTTACAAATGAAGGATGCCAACCCAGCGCCCCATCTTTTCTGTTCACTAAAATTCAGATGTGCTAGGACAAGTCAAGGATCGATGACAGAACAGGCCTGTTCTGAGGTGGCACATACCTGTAATTTCAGCACTCAGGAGGCTGAGGTAGGAGGACTGCCACGAGTTCCAGGCCAGCCTGGGCTACTACATAGGGAGACCCTTATCTCAACCAAAACCAAAGCAGAACAAAACAAAAACCCAGAACCACCTGAGAGAAGATCCTAGTGTACTTTTCCAATCTGATAAAAATAGCTGGTTGATCATTTTTCCTTTCTTCATTCAGAGATGAGCATCAGGATTTTAAGGATGAGCAAAGGCGTCTAAAGAAGCTTCGTGGAAAGGGGAAACCAAAGAAAGGAGAAGGAAAAAGAGCAGCGAAAAGGAAATAGTGTTAGCTGTCAAGACAGAAAATTTCTTCCTTGATGACTAAGAAGAATGCATCTACTGTCTTTCCACATATAAGAGGAATGTAACGTTCCTCAGTGAGGGTCATTTGGAACACAGTCATCCCATGTGGAAATCTAATCCAGCTAAATTGTGCCTGCTTTCTTGAACACATTCTAATACTGCAAAATTATTTTGGCCTTGGTTTTGTAATCTGAGGTTTACCTAATTCTCTAATGGGATGGACACATAATTTATTGTTTAATGAGTTGTTTGGGGTGGGTATGGAATGTTGGGGGAGTGGAGAAGCAACCTCATTAAATGAATGCCCTGCAGTTTCCTCCTTCCTTTATTCCTCACTTATTACTCACCCCTAAACCTCTTTCATCTCTTTGGCCATTCAGCCACTGTCTCCACCACCACGCTCACAAACTTTATATGCATCTCCACCTACTCCTGTGAGAAGTGGGATAAAAGGCTGTTCTGGGAAAGGGACTATTGAACACTTACTGTCTACGAGGTACTGGAACACTGCTGATGCAGGGTTATCGAGAGAAATGATGCCTTTCAATCTTGTGGGATTGAAGTATGATCATATACAATTGTATTAAATGCTACAAAGAAAAAAGCCAGAGTCCCATGAGTGCACAGATGGATGCATGGATGGATGGATGGATGGATGGATGGATGGATGGATGGATGGCTCAGATACACTACCAGAGGCCCAAACCTCATTTGGGAGCCCTTCCTTAAAGAAATTATATTAAGCTAAGCAGAGGATAAATAAGATCAGAAGAAAAATGGTGAAAAAAGTGTTTGAGGCAGAGACAATACAGTTTCCAAAGCCCTAAGGTAAGAACTTGTCCTGTTCAAAATCACAATGGGTCACTGACTGGCTCATGATTGGTCAAAAGGAAATAGACATCGTTCAAACCATGAAGGGCTTTGCGAGTTCCATGAAAAAACTTGGATGTAGCCAACTTAACTGGAAGTCAGAGTGTAAGACATTTCTATTGATGATGACTTGCATATATTTGGGTAGCTAGCTGGTGATTTCATTGGCTTCCAGTGCTGAGTTTCTAAAGAGATTGTAAGGGCCTCTGATTTTCTTTCTCCTCCCCACCCCGCCCACACACACACCCAAGGTTTCACTAAGTAGTTCAGTTTGGCCTTGAACTTGGTGATCCTGCCTCAGCCTCCCAAGTGCTGGAATTACAGGCATGTGGTACCACGCTGTTTTGTTTTTTTCTTTTTTCAAGAGTTGTTTTGAATCTTTAGCACTGTGCAGTAAATATTTTTAAATATTTTTTTAATTGTAAAAACATACAACAGAATTAGCTTCTTAACCATCTTTAAGTGAACAACACAGTAGTGTTAACTGTATGTGCATTGTGCTAAAGTACTTTTTAACTCTACCTTTCTCAGACAAAGCAAAGTGCACAGGCAACAGTACATATTGCAGCTACGCTAGCTATGCTAGTCTTCCCCTGAAATTCTGAATGACTCCTGGGTGAGTAAGAATCCCAGTACATATGTTTAGACAAACGTTATGTTATTTTTAAAGATGCATAATCCAGATGGCATGGCTAAGGCTTACAGCCTGTTTATATATATATATCTAAAATTGGGTGATTTTTGTCTGATAAAAGTGAAGGCTGAGAATCCATTCATTTAAAGCTTTTTACCGAGTATCTGCCATATGTCTGACACATAGTAGTAGAAGATACAGAAGTGAATAGATGTGGTTCCTAAGATTGTGAGAGAGAGAGAGTAGTACAATATTGGCATGGTCTCAGAAGTCTGCTTAGGAAAGTACAGATGCATGGTTATTCTTGGCCAATGCAGCTGAGCCAGGTATAGGTGGATGTTGGGCTGAGGAACAAGATCTCAGCCTGTAAGCTAAGTGATTATTCTGAATTTTGTGATCTCCAACTTTTGTAGGAGGGTTGGCTGCAGGAGATTAGAATCAGCATTGGAGAGCAGCTGCATTAGATACCAACAGCAAGCCAGAGTCATTGGTTAGCTGATGGAAGAACTCAACAAAACTCAGACCTTGAGGCTGCAAGGTGCCTTAATAATGCTTGATAAGGAAGTTTGTAGATAACTTAGCAGTAGATCAGTGTACCACTGCTCCATGTTGAAACTCAGACTGCAGCTGAAATGTATTTGCATGTAAACTGTACCCTCAAATCAACTGTTAAATGCTGTGTGATTCAAAACCCTACAATGGGGCTGGGGATTTAGCTCAGTGGCTACACCACCTGGCTTGAAAGTGCAAGGACCTGAGTTCGATCCCCGGTACCAAAAAAAAAAAAAATTCTCAAAACCCTACAATGAACTTCACTGGACCTGCTGGGAAGTAGGAAAGGAAGGAAGAGTTGACTCAACTCCATGGAAGGCAACATGTTTCAGGACCAAGGAAGGGTTCAGACAACAACAAGCATAATCAGAAAAAAATCTCAACTCCATGTTTAGGTTAGCTAGATTGTTCAACTGGATTTCTGGTCAAAACCTAAACTGCTTATGCTTTCCTGATAATGTTTGGTGTTAGTGTACATAAGGGATTTTGTCCTTGATTTCAGTATGGCATAGTAAAAAAAAAAATGGCTGAGTTTCAGAGGCAAAAATCGCTGCCTGTGTGATCCTACAATGTCTTCTCTAAACCTTTTTATTCCTTTCTAAAATTGTAATGCTTCACTAAATTAACAAAATATAGGGTGCTTGTGAAAAGGACTATATAAACTATGCAAGGTTAATCCAACATTTTTACACAGACTTCTTTGTATGACTAGTAAAATTCACTGTGTCTTTCTAGCAGATTTTTCCAAGGTGATGTCTGCAAAAATACATAGTTCTCAGGGCTGGGAGTATGGCTCAGCAGGAGAACACTTGCTTAGCATGTGTGAGGCCTTGGGTTCAATCCCCAGCACTACAAAGAAATGAATACATGCGGCATGATAGGCTCTGGAAGACGACATAGGTGGGAGATACATTTTATGTATGGGCTACAGAAACTCATTTTTTAAAAGCATAACATATAGACATGTATGTATGTGTAAGTACAGTGCTTTTATTTACAATGCCTCTTCCAAGAAGAATAAACCAAAATTTAAAATTCCACTTTCTTCAGTCCATCCGTCTTTCCTCGCACATTTCCCTCAAAGTCCTAAAGGCCTAATGTTAGAAATTTAGAACTGGGAACAAACTTCAAGAGCAATTCATAGAATAAAACATCTTTTAACCTGCTAACCCTGCCTTAAAAGTCTTCAAGTACTCAAGAAAAGTTCAAAAGAAAAAAATTTTTAAAAGACAACAAAACAAAATGATACATTCAAGAAGGCTTAGATAAAACAGAAACAATAAAAGCCTAGATACCAAGATAACTAGAAAAACATGTTGAACTTAAAACAGTGAAATGTTTTTTAAATGACATACAAGCAGCAAAATGGAGCGAGAGGTCATTACGTTGGCATGAGGACCAGCCAAAGAAAGTACTCAGATGCAATTTTCTTGGAGATCTGGCAATATTATAGGTTCATCTTAAAGCAGAAGCTAGAATTAAGCCCATAGATATTCTAAGACTTCTTTTTATTCTACTTCAGGAATGTGTTTCCTGGGACAGAGTGGAGCCATCTATGGGAGAGCATTCCATGCCCCAGATGCAGAATACATGGGGTCCTCCTAAGATTGTCTCAACAGGACAGTCAGTTGGTGCTCAGCACATAATTATCTTCCAAAAAACCACAAAACTGTTGATTGGTCCTTTGGGTTTAGAATAAAAACAGTGTTTTCAATAGATACTGAAAGTCTTAAGAGGTTTATCTAAACAGAAGTCCAGTTTGAGAATATCCATGAGAACTGACCAGTGCATTAAGCACCAAACTAGTAACAAATAATATATTTAAGAAGAGGTTTGGAGAAAGAGAGAAATGTGATTTGCAGCATCAGGAATGACTTCAGGAGCAATGAATGCAAGTATGTCAACATTTTTTGAGCAAGTATCACATGTGGGCTATTGTGCTTTGTAGGACATATCTTAACCCCTACCATGGTAAACGTCCCTGTTTTACAGATGAATCTGAGGCTTGCTCTTGTCCCCAAAAGCACTAGCTACAATTGTCTAGACAGAGGTTTTACATTCAAGCAGCTGACTCCAAAGCTCATACCTTTGATCACTGCACTTACATGTAGTGTTTTTCACAAGCACAGAAAAGTTTAAAGCAAATAGCATGGCAAAGACCCACCAGCACCCATAAAGCCTCAGGTTGGTGGGAGCTATAATGGCCTGGCAAGCTCAGAATAACACCCTGAATGAACCAATCAATACTGGGCCCCCAAGTCTCCAGTGTCCTTTCATGGCCTGACGATGGAGCTCTGATCTCTTAAGTCTGAGGATTACTGTAACAATAGCTATCATTTGTCAAGTGCTTTACCATTTGGTAAGCACTGTGCTTACCTCTTAATCCCAACAGCCCTATGAGATTAAGTATTACTTTCCTCCCTTGTGCTCTTGAACTTAAGTTTGCAGCTGTGGGTACCAACTCTGACTATACATTAGAACTACTTGGAGAAGACAGAAATATTGCTGTCCCTGGTCCCTTTAGACACTAATTGGAGTTGGTACAGGGTGAGAGAAATAGCACAGGCCCTGATATTTTTTAAAAGCTTCTTAGGTGGCTCTACTATGCAGCCAAGATTAAGAAATGTTGCTGTAATGCAATACTTCACAAACTTTAGTATTTCTCAGAATCATCTTGAAGCCTTATTGAACACAGATGGTGAGGCCCCACCCCCTTGATTTTTTATTCAGAAGGTTCCTGGTGGGGGCCAAGAATTTGCATATATAATAGGTTCCCGAGCCTTGCTCCTGCTACTGGTTTAGGGACCATACTTTGAGAACTATGGTTTAAAGTAACTTGGCCAAAGTACCCCAACTGGCAAATGATTATGGTCCTAACTCTAGTGAGATTTAATATGAAATCATGAGGGTCTTGTGCATGCTAAGCACATGAAGGACTTTATGAAACTACTGTTGTAGAAGAAGATCTGAATAAATAGACCCTCATACACACAGAGGAGAAGATTAAGCATTCTGAGGATGTTCATTGGACCATGGAGCAGGATGCCAACACAGGCCACTTGCTGCTGTGAGGAAGGTGCCCACTGGGACCAAGACAGGCCAACCCACATCTGCTCCAGCAACATCATGGCCACAGTTGTTGCTGATGCTATTAGAAAAAGCCTTGATTAGAAGAAATGGAGAAAATGATCCAAGGGGCAAAGAGGGATATAATCATTACAATGATGGTGCCACAATTCTGAAACAAATGGAAGCATCACATCTAGC